CTCGAACGCGCTTCAGACAAGCAGACGAGGGGCCATTATGTTGGAAGGCCCTGTAGGCTAGGCAGGGAAGGCCATAGCCCCATTTCATTTGTTAGTTCTGGAATGGCCTTCCGGTCAAGCAATTTGAACTTTGACGTCCCAGGGCGGTTTGGCAGAAAACTTCGGAAGCTTAGAAACTACCTTACATCCTTTCCTACCTTGCTTCTTACAAACTTGGCATGTTATTGAAGAACTTGGATTCATATTGAGATGTAGATGGGGAGGGCATTTGGGTCTTGGCTTATTTGAGCTGCAACCTTGGAACAGTGGCCTTCAGCCTGCCTAATCATTCTCTGTGGGTGTAAGTAACTTAGCGAAAATTCTGAGGTCCAAATCGTGGAGGACTTCCGTTCAGCCCCTTCCACAGCTTCATGAAAACTTCCAAAAAACAGAACTTGTTGAGGAAAAAGTTCCTTGATGGTAGTTTTTTAGAAGCAAAGGGGATCCAAGGTCAGGCCCGAAGCTTTTATCGAGAATTTTCCTTTTTCTTCCCCGTTCCCTATCTCTTCACTCGATCACATAATGTTTTCATTTAGTGATAGCCCAAATGGCATGTGTTGGGCTAATCGCACACGGCGGTCTTTGTTCGTCAACGAGCTGCTGCCACTGGCCAGATGGCGCTCACGCCACAAAAAACGCCAGATTGCGCCAGAATGACTTGGCCAGAGTCGTCCCCACCAGAAACGATAGTCCGTTACTTAGTTACAGTACAATTCACCTGAAGAATCTGTCCATCATCAGTGCCAGCGAGCAGAATTCGTGGATCTGGGACACCACTCAGCGAGGTGATCTTCACATCGACTTCAGCGACAGCGATTTCCACAGCTTCAATCGAACCCCCCACTCCCAGTTCACACGTCTCCTCGTCCAAAGGAATTCGGGATTTCTGAAAGAATAAACGAATGTAAAAATGAGCAGAGGAGGCTGAAATTGGATGAAAAATGCAGGGTAAAAGGCTAAAATTTGATGAATGTATGGAAAAAGGAAATAAAAAAGGGTAGGGTCTTGTAATGGACGTACGTTAATGCATTTGGCATCTCTCCCGATATGTGGGAGACCGATGGAGTCGGTCCCACCACGACAGCGATCGATGTTATACCAGAAGGTCAGCTTTAGACGTTGCATCGAAAAGAAGCAGATTGCCGATTTTGTGCCGGCCGAAGGCGCTGTGAAGGCCCCGACAAGGGTGTCACCTGAATATTTTGAGAAGATGGAATTTTTTAGGAAAAAAAAATCTTTGGTCCTCCCAGTAATTTCCCAAGGGTTAACCCCCGTGTGGTAGGTCCCATGTTTCGGGAAATATTTCACCTGGGAACGATCTCTCTGAAATCAGGGCGACCAATCCCATTTAGAAACTCCTCTGCCGAGGAATTTCCCATGTGTCATGGGCATTTTTCATCTGCGTCTTCTAATTTCGTCATCGCTTCATTTCTGTTTGCCCACCAATTTCTTCAGCGCTTTTGCCACCAATTCATCTCGCCATCCTCTTGACGTTAGCCGAACGTTTTTTACCGTTATTCGTATCAAAAACCATCCTCAGAGGTAACAAAAAACTCCCAGATGGGAACGAGGTGTCAAAGGCAGACATGCAAAAAGATCCGAGTCACTCACCCAAAAGATATGCAGCTGTCATATGTGGGAAATTCGTATTGTCCTCTGATCGACACTGTAATTCCACTTCAGAATACGATATGAACCTGAAACGATCTATTCGTCTTGTGACCCTTGATTTCAATACCCTGATGTCTTCATGCATTTGCTTGAGGAGGATCAGTAAATGTCATGCGCTGCAATGCTGCGACCATGCTGGTGGTAATCCAATTAGGCGGATGGTATTTGTCGTCGGCGAGGACCGTATGTGCAACGTAGCGTAACAGCGCAAAGGATTACGTCAAGGACCCTCAATTTCTCAAAAGAAACTCCCCGCATGCGATGGACTTGGCGCATGGCCAAATGATCCGAGTTCATGAATCTCGTTAGTCATGCGAAGGAGAAAGGTCAGGGTGGTTTGACGACTTCATGGCGCAACCCTGAGATTTCAACAGTGCTACCACTCGGGCTCAAACCGATACTCGCTCAAGCCAACAAAGCCTTCGATCCCTTCAGGGTCTCCTCATTAGCACCACATTTGTCTGGGGGAATGAAAGCTCTAACTTGCAGCTGGCCCGAGCAGGTCAGATGGCGAAGGCCTCTCAACACCAGTTCTGATCAACGCCAGAAGTTCTGTTTCATCCTTCCATCCGGGACGAACCTCCTCCCTGTCTGCCAGTGTTTATTTATTTATTTATTTATTTATTTATTTATTTATTTATTTATTTATTTATATGTCACTGCAAATCAGCGAGTCCATTCAAGCTGGCTGTATTATCCATCCCTCCCTGTCACCCGAATCCATCCAATAGGGGTAGCACTCATGATATCACTTTCCGACTGGAAACCCCCGTTCATCAAGCCAGTTGGAGTCGAATTTCTGGAGGACCGAGGGGTGAGAGTTGGTGTGCACAGAAGGAAGTGATGCTGAATGGAAATAGCGGCATCGGCCTCCCCGGCTGGCCGGCCAGCTTGCCAATTAGCAAATACGCAAACAAATGCCAAAGCGGGTGGTAAGAGCGCAAATATCCGTCTAAAGAATAGGTGCAGTTAGCTGGCTGGCGCTATAGCTAGCCAGCCAAGCCAAAGCCGACAACAACCATTGTCGGAGGTGATTACACTTGAGCACGAGGAGGAGCAGTATCGGAATTGGAGCACGCGAAATTCCCATTGAGTAAAGAGATGGGCTAGGATTCCCACCTAAGTCCCAATAGGGAATCTACTAGATTCCTAAATCAACAGCTTGGTTCCATCAATCAGAAATAGGTCTGTTGGGGACCCTTCCAGTCGCGGAATCGCTCAAGGACAATTGATCTGAGTGACGATTTTAACACAAAGGCGACGCTTTTAACAGAAAGGCGAGAGTCAGACAAAGGGAAGATATTCGGGCTTAATAGGTGGTGTCCCCAGGGACTGCAGGTGTGACCATATGAATTACAAATAATGAATAGGCCCCCATAAAAAATCGCTTCGAAATTGAACTTGAAACGAACCGGTCAACAAGAGACCAGACCTTTTGGCCCATCGAAAACGGGAAGATAAACAAACGGAAAAAAAGACGAAAAGAGGAAAAGTGGACAGATCTGAGGAAGTGTGAAGT